GCGACCTCTATTAACGAATGCCCCCAATGTTACCAGTTGATGACACTCATGCTGAGATCATCATATAGGATGATTAATCCTCTGGTAAAATATTTACGTAAATAATAAATAAGTGTTTTACCTATGAAAAATATGAATAGCAAATCCGATTTAAATAAGGATTTAACAGCATGTTTTTTTTTTAATTTTTGGAACCTAATCCCCTATTTTCATTACTTCTTTGTTTCTTTGTTATACAAAACAAAGAAGTAACGGATTCGCATAACACGGCAATTTTTTGGAACGTAACTCCCGGGTTATACGGGGGTTACCTCTGTATCTTATAATGCAAGATGGCTGGGTTGCTAAGATTATATCTTACTGCTCTCTGTGACTAAAGATCGAATCTAGACGATTCAAAAGTAATCAGACTTTCGGAAAAAGATACATTAAGATATGTTGGTTTATGTACCTCATTTTGCAGAAAACTGATATGCATGCCTAGTCAATCTATAATAGGCGTACTAAAAGTTCTTACTTGTAAAGTACTTAAGTGTTTATATATGTATCTTTAAATATGGATTTTTGCAATTATTTCTTTAAGGAGTGAAACTGTCAATTTTTCTTTTTCTCTTTACAATCGTCAAGAGGTTCTTTGTTACTGTGGTAACCTTTGATTTTTCATTATTTTTATATAAACCTGTCTAATCAAACTTTGGTCAAAATAATTAGGGAATCACAAGATACTGTACGATATATCAAATTAACTTTAAATATAAATACTGCTATAATTTTTTGCCTGGTTGATTTCTCAAACTTTAAAAAAAATTTATTTAAAAATTATTATATTTAAGCTACTTTAAAATTTTGTTGTTTGAAAATTTACTCATTGGTTAATATCATGCATCAATTAATTAATTTTTTTAAGCACAGTACAGCGAATATATTAGCGACTACTGTACGTTGATTTTATGTTTTCTTTGCTACTTTGTATTTGCTGTATTTAAATTAATTAATAGTAAATAATAATATAATAAAAAATCTGATGTTTCCATTAAAAATTGTTGATTTTTTGATACCATTGAAATTGTCGATCCTATCAAACATGTTTTACAGAATGCGTGCAATGTACTGTACTTTATAACTCGATTTTTACATTGTGTTTTTTAGAATGTATCCACCGTTCAAAAACGGGTGGATGTATTGTTTCTGAATAACACAGAATTAAATGTTATGTAGCGTGGATAAGAAAATCCATCATTATGTATGTACAGTGGAGTGCAAAATGGTTTTTCTCATTGTGACGTGACGTCACGTCACGTAAGTGACGTCATTTGATTTGTCAATCATTTCTACCAGTGCTTCCATTGGTTTGAAATGGACTGCGCCGTTGTATAATTTATTGGAGGGTGATAGGAATGATTCGAGAGGGATTATGTTGAGCACTAAGCTTAAAAATCGTAATTACAGCTTCATAAATATAATCGCGTTGTTTTAATAAAAATCTGGCATTACTGCCATCAGAAAATACGATTATATCGTTTATTTATGTATTTTTTCTCCCTTCTAACGTTTCTTATGTTTATATTACTGTAATTTGATCCAAAAATGCAAAAAAAATATCTAGTTTCACTTTCGTTTAAATTCTTTCAGGTTTTACTGCCTGGCATCGACTTGCTTTATAATTGAAGAGAAGTGGGAGAGGAAGTCAAGGTCACAATAGTAAATGTTTATTACCTTTACAGAAGGGTGTGAATCACACTCTTTTTTAACGTAAACAAACCGATATGTGCTTTATTACAGTGTTAATTATCTTAAGTTTCAACGATTGACATCCACTCTCTTTGTAACTGGAGAAAAAGTAGATTTGGGTATCAAAATTACAATGGTAACCGTTTATTGCTTTCATTGAAAAGATTCATTTCATCCACTCCATCGCTAATACCAAGAACGTTGTATTACCCCGAGTTCTGACGACTGCTTTCATTCTGTCGTCTGCTTTTCGTTTCTCTTTTTCTCCGTTAAGTGTCTCCTCTCATTCTCTCAAAATTTAATAAAATACTTATTCGTTTAAATATGAAAATTAGCTAAATTAGATCTGAAAAACGCAAAAATTGCGATTATCTAAAGTTTGTTTACATTTTTATCTCCATTCACGTGAAGGGTAAAAATAATTACGTAGTTCTTATCGCAATAAATTTTCCACAGACTATTCTGTGAAGATGCTCACTCCTTCAAACAAATCGATTGTAGCGTAGCTATTATTATTTTATTTATATGGAATTTCATAATATTTAGTGTCTAATTAGCTAACTTCCAGTTGTTTTGTTCTGCTCCTCCTAATTGAAGAAAAGTTATACGTGAAATATTTGATAATTTGTTAATAGGTAACATCGACTAACGTATGTAAATTAAGTAAACTTTAAAACGTAATTAGGAAATTGAGTGGGAAAAATATTCCTTAAAATACTAAACAAAGATTTTCGGTAAATCAATCCAGTATAGTGTTTTACACCTTCTGTTGAATGTGAAATTGCCAATGGCAGGTAGTTTGGTAAAGCAATAAGAAAAAAGAATCTAATGGCGAAGCAAATGGCTTTAGTTCCTTCCGAAATATTTATGATTTATTAAAAGCCAGAAATACGAATTTGTTGTAATATCGAAGAATTTCTCGCGAGTACTAATTTACCTATTGATGGTAAAGTAAACTTATTAAGTTTATCATCTGAAGATATGAGAGCACCATTCACGCTCCTAAATCCTGTTAGAGTATCTGTTGTATCAGACAAAATTGAAGAAACAGAATCTTAACCTGAAAAGAAAACTGTCAATGATAGATTTATTATATATATAATTTTATTCGTATTTTAATTATATTCAACATTTAATTGATAAGATGAATCAAAGTCATTTCAGTTAAAATTGTAAAGGGAAATTAACAATCAACGGTAAACATGTTTTTGAAAGTCACATAGTAAACATAATTTCGTATCTAATGTAAGATAGAGAAGTTGCACTATTTGATGTTGGTTTTATCAACAGCACGAATATTGATACAATTTATAAAAAATTAAACATCTTTCGGAAACGAAAAATACCTATTTGGAAACTAATTAAAAGATTAATTAGGATTAAAAAAATTTCGAATTGGGAATACATAAGTAAATATCCGATTGAATTGTCTGCAGGAATTTCAGAAAATTTTAGTGCACAATGAGATTGTTACCCTATTTATTACTTCAAAAAAAAAAATACATTCGTATCTTTTATTTTGTGGTAATTTTAAAAAACCTTCTGTACCACGCTCGAGAGTGTCTCGAACACGTCCCATAGCGTTATAAAAATTTGGTCTTTTAGGCCCTCCTGAAATTTTTTTTTTTTCAATTTTTGGAATGTCTTTTAGGTTTCTAAATCTTTTCAAAATTTTTTTCTCACGCGAAAAAATTTTATTGCGATTTTAATTTACCTTTAATGATGCACGATTCACGCTTTGTTGCTTTTTAATTGTTTTTAATGACAGTTTTTTATCAAATTTAATTAATCATTCTAAAGTTGTAGTGCATGGATTTGACTTCAATAAAGTTATTTAAAGCTAGTTTCTGATATAAAAAACGACCTCTAATAGTTTTTAAATTTTTTTAATTAATAGATTATATTATATATAAGTTTCATTAAGTCGGGGGGTCGGAAATCGCAATAAAAATTTTAATTTTTTAAAAATATTTAAAAATGTAGGTCTAGCTAGTATTCACCCTACTTTAAACCCTTCTCCTCCTGAGACGTCTATGAGAATGCCCGAGAAAATAGACTCCAGCTGTGTAAACAATGACTTATTGGTGTCAAATTTCGCAGAAAGGCGAGACAAAGGATGTTAAACTTTGAAGCTTTTTCTTTAAAATTAACGCATTTCTTTTTGTTTTTTTCAATTTTAAGCATTTTTTTATGTTTAATTAAAGATGTATTTTATATTTTATAATAATTTCATCAAATGTAATTGTATTAATTGTAATAATTTACTATTTTCTTAGAAATAGTATTAAAAAATTAATCAACATTATTGTACCTCGTATTTTGAAAAGAAATGTTGTAACGTCTATTAAAATATGTGCTATATGCTATGATTTTTTATTAAAAATAACATATATCTTAATATGGAATTTTTTCTTACAAAATACAAACAAATTTTATTGGTTTATTGGATAAAAATATCAAGTTTACCAATAAACAAAAATAGTGATTGGGATGTTATAAGTCAAAGAACTGACTTAACTTTTGAGCTAATATCTGAATTTTCAAATAATTTAAACTGGAAATTAATATGGAAAAATTACATACTTCTAGTTCATTCATCGAAAAGGGTATTAGACATTGAAAATTGAATTTAATTTCAGAATATCAAGTATTAGATAAAAATTTCATAAGTCATTCTTCAAAATATCGCGATTGAAATAAAATAGTAAAATTTTAAATATGTTTAGATAAATTTGTTATAAAGTATAAACGAAAAATTAGACATGATTATAGTTTTGAAATAAGAATGAATAAAATTGACACTATAGATAAGCTAAATTAGTATCTACATTAAGATTTAGTTTTCTCTTATTATATACTGAACTAAGATTTTATTCATGATTTCATAAACTACCCTTCTTGGTGTAAGGTCTTAAAATATCAAAAGCTAAATTAGAAATATGTTTCGGATAATTTACATAGTTCATTAGTCAATATAATTTATGACATTTGTAACATTCTTGGTGATATAATAGAGAAATCAATAAATTAAAAGAATATTAATAAATATGTGTCTTTATATAATGTAAAATTACTTGTGTATCAAATGATTACTACTAACGTTATTGCAATACTGTAAATTTTTTGTTTTTCTTCTTAAACAAAACGGGATACAATGAATATTATAACAGTTTTTAATAACACATCGATTGAATATTAGACACACGAAAGAAGATAATACAAATGCAAATACATTTTGAATCATTTAATTTTTTTAATTATTACCGTAAACTAAAGTTTTCAAGAATACATATTTACAATTGGAATTATATTCTTGACTAAGATTGATCTGATTAAAGTAGTAAACAAAATTTTTGTTTTAATTATTTCACTTAAATCTTTTTCTCTTGTTTAATACAATAATATTTACTTCTTTCTTGAAATTAAACCATTGTTAACTTTACTCATTAGGCCTATAATATCTCAAAAACTGCTGATGACATCTCAATAAAAGATCAGCATGTATAAATTGAACTGAAAAACTTGCTTATACAAACAAATGTTCAGAGTTTTACAATTTTATGTGTTACGTGATGTACGGAAATACCACTCTAAGACCTAAATGAAATAAAAAATCCATAACACCAGATCCACACAGTTTATACATATAATAAAATTCACTGTTTTATAGTTTTGTATGCTCGACCGTCTCTTTAGCGTAATATTTAACTCTGGCAATTTTGTATAATTCATTCATTGAAGTTACTCCTGTCTTCTTTACCAAATTATAAAATATACCATTTACGTTCTTTAGTAATGCATACGGCGAGTCAAAGTCTTGTACTCTTCCTGCATCTAATACCTAGAAATTTAAAATGTCTAATTACTAGCAGGTATTAATTTTTATATTATTAAAAAGAAAGAATCTTACCAGAACTCTATCCGAATCGATAATTGTATGTAATCTGTGGGCTATTGTCAACACCGTACAAGATTTGAATTTTTCTCGAATTATTTTCTGTAGACAGGAATCGGTTCTTCATATAAAATAAATAAAAATAAGTAATAAATAAAATAGATAAAACGGTTTCCCCATATGGCAATGTACCACAAACAATTAAAATTGTAATAGCGAAAACCAGCAAGTAGTAAGTGAAAAAATACATTACTAAACCCCATCAACATGTGAGGAAATTCACGGATAGGAAAATTAAAACACACTGCCGACATTGTAAAACCTTTGGAAGAAACGTCATACTTTGTCAGAGATTGTGATTTTTTTTCTAAGCTGGAAAACTATCGAGAAAATAGCATCAAGTGGGAAGGTGCAACATTAAGCCATGATAAGAAAATACATGTATTTGTAAAAAACGAATCTAGTCGATCAGTCAATTAGACGATAACGATGATTGTATACTATCCTGCATCAAATGTTTTCCATTTCAAGACGAAGAAGACGAAGCTGCACCCATGAAAATTCACACCAAATTAGACATATACACTTAAGAACATCATCCTGCATCTTTATCCGATCGATAGGTTTATATCATGTTTAAGGTGGTGAATGTCAGTAAATCCAATATCAGAACAGATTTATTGAGGAAAGCAGTAAAGCGGCAATTATAATAATTACGCTTGTAAGAGTTAAGATTAGTATTGTTAACCATAATATAGTAATAAATGATATATGTTACTGACAAGTAATTTTACATTAGACAAAAGTTTAAGGCCATATTAGTGTAATAATAACAAACTATACTTAGCGAACTTACTGTAGACAATTTCGTTTGAGATAGGTTGAGTATTCTATTTCATATGTATCGTTCAACTTAGGACAGCAGACAATTCTGGTACAAACAGTTCTGATTCATTTCAGGAAAGGCCAATCATTGTATTTCAAAAAGTGAAAAACAATTATCAGGTAATAAAATGAAAAAAAAACATTTTATTCTTCAACTATTTTACTCTCTATTTGGAAACTCTAACAACCTATAGCTAGTCAGTACGGACAAGACAAAACAAATGTTTTTAAATGCAGCTCACATCAGACTGTAGCATCATATAGGATGTTACGGCAAACACTCACTGAACGGCTTCTCTAAAACGGATATTGTTATCTGTAAATATGAATTAATATTGATTCTGATAACGTAAAACGTGATGCCTGAAGAACATTTGTACTAGAATTTGTTGATTTTCTCAATAAACAGACAATAATTGTATTCTGAAATAAAAAACGTTCAACCTGGTTTGGTTTCATTTAATTAACTGTTAGTAGCATTATATCAGATAGGAAAAACAGTTCATGCCCAAAAAGCATGTTAGAAAATTTATTGTTATGCTTCTGTAAGCCTAAAGTAATTGCTATTCTTCACTAAATGTCAATGTAAAATTGCAACTCAGCAGCAGATAAAAATCTGCTGCTAAATGTCGCAATCATTCACAGGAAGAAAAAAATTTTTAGCAAAACATTTCTGCCTTCCATTCATAATGAAATAATCGTGAGTAATTTGAAGACAATGCAATCGTTCTATTGCTTCAGTAATTTACAATACTTTATCTACATTTTGAAAAAAAATAATTAGATATTTCTGCACATGTTGCATACAAATATGGTCGGCATTATATACGTTAGCGTGATTATTAAGTAGCAGTTCTTCATCAGTGGGAAATTATTACAGTGATAACTGTTACAACAATGATTATATTATTTAAGAAGCATTCCCTTTTGATTGGAATGTATAGTGGCTGCCCTATAAAGTATTGCATCCATTGAACGTCTTCTGCATTGATGTCTTTATACAGTTATGTCGATGTAATATACGTATTTAAAAAGAGTATTTTCTTCCATTAATTAATGTTTGCATGAAATAACTCTTTCAAGTGATGTTTCTGAGAAGATCATTCACACAGTTTCTATAGTGATATGTAACAGTTTTTTAAGTACTGATTTTATCTCCGTAGTTATTCCATTTTTACTTTTCAGCAATGTATGACCAAGTAATAGACTACTGGGAAGTTTACCTATCAGTTTGACAGTCAGACTTGTTGAAAAATAGAGAGGTAGCAAGCAATGCCTAAATAGAAATCATACTAATTGCAAGTAGATAAACGTATGATAACTTTTTTGAAAATACTGTATTTTGAAAACGTGAAATTGAACATGTCCCTTACATATTGCGATTATAGTCTCACTGAATACACTTTTGACCAACACGCTATTTGAGTATTGTACTCTTTAATTCTATTGTTATATATAGTAGGTATCTGATCCCATTTACAAGATTCCTATGATGTGCTGCATGTCGAACCCATATCTACGAAGTTCCTCCTAATTCAGGGTTTTCACTACTGACATGAACACCACAAACATACACGATAACAGTAATCAATCATTAAAGCTTTGATTTCTTCTAATTTCGTTTTTCCAACTTGCACTATCAAATGCAGCTCAACTCGTTTCGAACATGCATTAACGAAGTTTACAAGGTATACATTGTTCGCTATTGCACAATGTATTGATCTTTGGAAACCGTGAAAAGTAACATACAAGCAATAATAAACACTTTTCGAACACTTGATCGAATAAAGTAGTTTCATAGATCTCTCGAAATGCATACCGAACCCCCAACAGCTACTTCTCATAAGAGAATTGATAAATGAAAAAAGCATTTAATGTTATTTCTATTATCACAGACCAGTGGAAACTTTTACGATATTGCCAAAGTAGTTTTGATTATGCAGGTGTTAATGAAAACAACACGATCTTACCCATCACTGTAATCTGAAAGTTTTGACACAGAAATTACATAAAAGTTAATTTATTCATACTAAGACATGCTTATTTTTGTAGGTTTTGCAACTAAATTTCTTCTTAAATCTTTATGATATTTTCTATACTTGACTACTGAACTCAGTTTTTGTAAAAAATTATTTGAAAATATTAGAAATGCAATATATCAAATTTTAAGTAAAATTATATATGTTAGAAGTGGGACTATTTTGGGAGTTTTAAAAGCTTAAGACATTATAAATTGTTTTTTCATCATTATGTTCCTTTTACCGCCATTTTCCACTTTCCTGGCGGTTGTATTCAGACATTTTGACCCATCAGTGTATTGCATCGCTTCGAAATGTGACATTCTAGACTTTCAAAAACGTTTAGGACGACCGAGGAAGTTATCCTTTCACAACAGGAGATTCTCCATTTCTATCTTCGTTGCAATGTACAAATAAGTAGCCAATTAACAAGAACCTTCACCTGTTACATGCTAGAGGAAAGCAAAAAGGTTAACTTAAATCGTTGACCGTACTGAATAAACCATCCCCTCTCCTTATGCTAGCCGATTAAAACGATAGAAAAATATATCAAGTTACTCATATTTATACAATTATCACCCAGGTGGACTCGCAGATGTTCTGACATTAGCCATTTGTGGCAAATAATTCTGTAGGTTTGACAGCTGTTGTGAAATTTATGATGAGCAAGTGTCACAATAACAGGTAGAAACTGTAATAAATCAAAAGAACAGTTCGATTCATGACAAGTAAAGTCAACAACTCTTGACGCAAGTCGAACTTATATGTGATTGCATCAGATTATCAACGATAATTCTCCTTCCGGGATGTGTATAAAGCGGGGTCGCACTTGCACCACTGGGCAGACACAGCTGAGCGGACACAGCCAGGCAAACACCAACAGCGGACATCACCAGTAGACATCAGAGAGACACCAAACCCATACCGCCATTACATCTGTTGCAACCCTTGCCTTCCCGCCATAATCTGCAATGAATCAGAACCGAGGAGAAGGGAGACTACGAGTAGAGTTCGCCGATCCGGGAACATTTCTTACCATCGCCAATTTGACGAGATCGAGAACAAGAAAGGTAATCACATAGAGAAAATTTGATTCCTTCTCTCTCGTTCCTCGTCTCTCTCTCGATCATAGCTTGAACTTAGACAATATTATGTCTTATAGAGTTAGAGAATTAGACGACTTAGAAGTATTTTTAAATTATTCCCTTTTTGTAGCCTTTTGACTTGTAATCGTTTGTATAGCTTTACATAATTAAATATGTTATTCTTATATATATAATTATGTGTTATCTTTGAGTACGATCGACACCTTCTTACGATCTCGCTGACCCTCCTATTTAATAACACATCGAACATCCCTGACAAAGAAGCTTATATATGGGGAGAAGCTCGGCACTATATCCCCTCGGTTCTCACAGATATAAAATAAATTTATTAAGTAGAGGACGCTAAAATGTTCACATACACCATGTAGTTTGCCATGTTGACAATGGAAGACTTTTCCTATTACCATTTTTATATATACACAGCACAATATGAATACAGTATTATGAATATATGTATTCGTATGCACGGCATAATATGAATTCGTATATACATAGAGTTTGGCTTGTAGACACAAGAAACATTTTTTTTTCTTTACTCATCCTCATTACAACAAACACAAAATATAAAAAAAACGAAAGATGAGAAACGAAATAAAATATACTTTGAACGTATCACACTATATTTGAGATAATTAATTAGAATTTGGTTCCAGATCCCAAAGCGGTTAATTGTAAGTTTAATCATTATGCAAATCAATCATTTTAGTGGCGGCTTAATGGCAATGTACTGTAATCATCGTGATTATCACACAATCTTACTTATATCAAACTTATACCCATAACTAGTCTCTATTTAACCCAAATTACAAAATAAAATGATTTATACTTGAAATTATGTAATATTTTTAATATTCTAACCTTTTATCAATATTGGACGTTGCTTCATCCATAACAAGAATTTTATTCTGGCGAAGAATGGTTCTGGCAAGACAAATTAACTGTCTTTCCCCCACGCTGAAATTTCGCCCTCCTTCTGTTAAATGCGAATCCAATCCTCCAGGTAATTTACTAATAACTTCTTTTAATTGTACCTTTAATTCAAATATTTATAATAATAAATATGCGTAAATCGAATTTAATCAGAAAAAAGTTTAAAGAGAAAAATCTGGGAGTAAATTGAAAAATATTTATTTAATTGTAACCTCCTCTATGGCTTTCCACAGCATTTCTTCAGAATATTCATTAAAAGGATCCATGTTTCTTCGAAGTGGCCCGGTAAATAACATAGGATCCTGAAAAAATATATGCATACTCTGTAGTAACTGTATTTTACAATTCGTTTCTATATTGAATAATATGAGTTACAATTACGAAAATTGGCTAAGCGGTTTCTGTCCCTACACACTGGACTGTCGGTCGTGGGTTTGCGACGCGATCGGACAGGCTGGCCACATAGAGTTTTTAGGTTTCCTGTATGTCTGTTAGGTCTAAATAGGAGCCAGTAACTATTAAAACTTAAAAGTCCTCCCGGAAGGCATCCCACTAGACAGATTACTCAAGTGTTGCGTTGCCACAACTTAATAAAACAAACAAACGAAGATAAATATTAAAATACAAGTAACCCCCGTATAACACGGCACTTTTATAGCACGGATTCACTCTGACACGGTTCGAGAATTGGGTAAAATCCTCGTACAACAGGAAATGTAATAAATTTTTACATACTTAATTAATAATAGATCACAAAAATTAATATTTTCGTGAACTATTATTATGATTTTCGTAAACTATTATTTTCGTGAACTATTACTACTTAAGTATGTAAATTTTCTCTTCTCGCCTTCTGTTGATACACGTGGTCCTTCTCGAAACTTGTTTGAATGTTGCCAGATCGCAACGCTTCTGCTTCTGATGTTGCCGAATGTTTTTCCCTTATTCCGTATTTGCTTTATTCTTCATAAGTGCTTAGCACCATATAAGGAAATTTATAAAGACCTTTTAACTAGAAGCAAGCAATCTAAAATTACATACATTTTGCAAAAGGTAAAGCATGGATCTGAAGATAATGCAGAAAAATTCTCAGAGGATAAGGGTAACTTGACAAAAAGAAAACGCTCTCGGTTAATTAATAGTGTTTTTAGTGATGACGAAGAAAACATTGTATCACTTTAAAAATTTTAATGAAGATATTTACCTTAATTATGAAAATATACTAGCATGTTTTTTAATTTTTGGAACATAACCCTCCTTTTGGTATTAGTTCTTTGTTTCGTATAACACGGATTCGCATAACACGGCAATTTTTTGGAACGTAACTACCGTGTTATACGGGGGTTACCTGTACGTTACTTTAATGATCATCATAGAATACACAAGATGTAATACAGCATATACACGTAAGCAATGTTGAGATTAAGTCATTTCGCCTCTTGTATTAAAACATTTTGAGTAAGTTTGAACTTTCAAAATTTAATCTGATTGTTAAGAAATTAGTAGATTAATGTGATTTCATATCCTGATTGATATGTAATTTAGAAATTAGTTAAATGTCGTTATTGACAATAAGTAAAATCAGTATAGAGCCAAATTATGGAAATGTTTGTATTTTGCAACATTTAATAAATTATGTGTGAATCGAATTTTGCCAGAACTTCTGTAGAATTCTAAACAGTACATGGTGCTGCATGTTTCTATTTGTTTAGTCAATTATATTTTTTCGATCGCATTGAAAACGAACACATTAACGACTTTCGTGCGTGTACTTTGTCGTGGTTTTCAGGATTAAATTTATTTCTACCTATGGGGTTTACCGCATAATCTGTCCAAAAAACATTTTTGTTTACTCCATATGTAAACGTCAGATTATTCAAAATTATTCTTTCAATCACTATATCAGTGTATTTCTATTAATAGGACTTATCATACTGGTGTATAAGATTACATCCTCACAGTTACACAGATTACAATTGTTTTATTTTTCAACTACCTGTTAGATTATTCATCGGACGATTACAAATGATCGACTTCTTTTCATGGAAACTTTTCTTTTTGTTTCACAGATAAATTTTTTGATGACAATTAATTAGTTGATTACATCTTATATATTATTTTATTAATGTCATCTTTGCAAATAGATAATATTGATTCTTTTGAATTGAAGACTAATAGAATTTCTACACTTTTATCAAGTCAGTTTATATGCGCTATTAATAGACAAACATTAAATTTAAAAAATTAATATTAGTGTATATGTTACCGCTAAAGCTCGAAAGTCGTTAATCTGCAGATTAACTAGGGTGATCCGTTAAAGTTGTGAAAATTATTCCATTTTTCAAATTACCTAGATAATGTGCAGAGTATCTAGGTAATCCGCACATTATCTACTAGGCACTCGGTAAGTGAAAATAAGATCTTTGCCACAAATAAATGTACCACAAATGAGTGTGCTTGTCGCAGAAATCAATTGCTATGAAATTCAAAGTGTCACCAATTTTTAGACTGCACAATTAAATAATGTTACCTACGGTGCGTAAAACGGCGGCTCATCTCTTATTCTAGCAAAGAGAAGAAAGGAAACAGTGGGGACGCACGTTCAAACCTAACCTAACCTATTCTAATAATTTGGTTGGTAATAATTATGGTAATTTGTTAGAATAGGTTAGGTTAGGACATAACGTGGGTCCCCACTGTTTCCTTTCTTCTGTTTGCTGGAATCAGAGACGAGCCGCCATTTTACTCACCATAGGTAACATTAACTGCATAATTATATCATGCGATCACCAGAAAAAGTATGATAACTTTATTATTTTTCGTCTTTGGTCCAAAAGTAGGGTGTCGTTTAAGTCGTCTCGGTCCCCTCTGTTCAGATCAGTGTTGCCGTTCCTAGTACATTTGCACTTTTCTGGTACATTTTGCCCTTTCCAGTAAATTGAAAGTACATTTAGATTTTTAGTACATTTTCAGTACATTATAATATTTCAAGTGCCATTTACGGTACAAAATAATATTTCACGCCTTAACGAAAAAATGAAAAAAAAATTAGTTTAATAAAGTCTCACTAGTGTCACTGCTTGCTAATTTAAATTATCCAATCACAACATACAAATGGTGTGTGTCCGTCGACGTCAGCAACATAGATAGTTGCACGTGTAAACGGTCTTGACTCAGTGGTCTTCTTTCACACGTTCAGTTGTCTGCACATTCTCATCAGGACCTTGACAAAATTTTTCATGCCACGTGGTCCAAACAATTCAACTCCGTCAAACAAAAATAATGGACAGGTAAGGAAATCAATGATTTTAAACTTTTGTCGTCAATAATATCAAAATATCCGTTAAGTCAGAATCAAATTATTACAGAAAATAGTTTTGAAATTGTACGAGTATAAATAATATAAATACTTTTATATTATTTTCTACCACTATAATTTAATTCTTAAATTATGAACTTCAATTTTAGTAATCGTAGTAAAAGAAATAAGGGTTAATGTTACGTATGGTTCCAAAATGGCCGCGCTTCCGACTGTTCCAAGGTCTATATAAGAAGGTCAGGACACGCGTGATCTACTTCTTGAGCTGCCATTTTGGGGTTTTTTGAGTTGCATGTTTTAAGCAAACTTGTACGAGCAGTCAGTTTTATATGACATTAATTAAACTAAAATTGCATAAATCCTGTAATTTCCAGTCAAAAATATAATAATAATTTCGGATGATTATGCAACCCCAATTTTATGTAACGTTTTCATCAAATAGTTTAAAAGAAACAAGCATCCTTATCTTTTGCTGTCATGATTGAAATTAATTAAATAGGTACTAAAACTGATGCAATTACGTATATACCACTTCGTAAAGTGATGCAATAACATCAAAATAATTTAAAGTATAATAAAGAATAAAATAATATAATATAACAAATTTATAATTATTTTTTTAAAGCACGATTGGTTATAAAATTAAGATGAAATTCAATAGTATTATTAATAAATGTTGTCAATGTAATGCTCATTATATAATAAGTAATAGATGTGTAGATATATTTTTAATTTTAAATAGCTTTACTATATACATAGCCTATATATATATATAAATTACGTCCCTATATATATATAGGCACGTAAACAAAGTATTCATAGAACTAGTACACTTTGAAGGAAAATAGTACATTTTTTGAAGGCGCTTCAGTACGTTTTGAAATTTCATTGCGGCAACACTGGTTCAGATAGATACTCAAAGTCCCGAAATTCCATACGTGGTTATCTATATAATAATTTCCTTAATTGTATTAATATTTTAAATCGTTTGATTTTTTGACAATAAACTATATATATATATAGGCACGTAAACAAAGTATTCATAGAACTAGTACACTTTGAAGGAAAATAGTACATTTTTTGAAGGCGCTTCAGTACGTTTTGAAATTTCATTGCGGCAACACTGGTTCAGATAGATACTCAAAGTCCCGAAATTCCATACGTGGTTATCTATATAATAATTTCCTTAATTGTATTAATATTTTAAATCGTTTGATTTTTTGTACGTTTTTAATTGGTTGATGATTGATTCTATCAACTAATTTGTCGATTGTTTTATTGTATTAACTCGATTCTTTAGATATCGAAAATTAAATAAAGAACATTGTGTTAATTTAAGCGTATAGAAACGTTGCTGTTGTTCCAGCAAAGATCTTATTTTCACTTTACCGAGTGCCTAGTAGGCAATTTGCAGATTTTCTAGATAATCTGCACATTACCTAGATAATTTGAGAAATAAAACTATTTTAGCAACTTTAACGGATCAACCTAGTTAATCTGCAGATTAGCTAGGTAATGTACACGTTAACGACTTTCGAGCTTTAGCGGTAACATATACAGTAATTCTTCGGTTTACGAATGCCCCTGTTTTCGAACAACATTTTAAATGCATACTTGCTCCGATTGCCATACAATAACTCGTGTTCTGAACAATATACTCGCCAATGCCGGCCACCGATTGTCAACTTCCTATACTTCTCGTGTTAAAGAAACTCGAATCTACGACAAGGCTACCGATTCGGTAGTGACGTCACGACACGAACAATCGATGGCGTTTTTAGTCAAAGAAAATTTCAATAGGCATGAGAGTAAGATACTTCTTTTGGTTTATTTTCATTATAAACTACACAATTACACAAAGTTTGCGTTACAATTCAATTTAAATGAAATTAATTCATAAAAACCACGTTAATTGACATTTCTATAATGTTAATAACATCCAATAATTAGTAATAAAGATACTTAACGCAAATTAAGTAACAAATATTTATTAATACCACATATTATAGTGCTCATATTTAATTTAATATTTATTAATAATCGGTAGTCAATTAATTGAAACTAAAAATAATAAAATAATTATTAATTTAACACTTTTGTTTTTCTATCGAAATTGAAACTGAAATTAAAATTATAATCGAATGTATTGAAAGGAGTATAGATAAATAACTTGTCCTCCATCTTTATTGATTTGCTTATATGTCTTGCAGGCAGAGTCCATTTTAGCACTTTTTGTAAAATGATAATTTTGGTTTGCTGTAACAAAACATTTTGCGTTTAATATTTATTACAGACGTAGATATAGAGATAATGTTGTTTTGTATCAAGTATTTTGGCATGAGCTACTAGGCTCTATCGCCCCGTGATAGAGTGCGACGTAATTCTAAAGTATTAGTAGTTGTATGCGTTTATGATGTTCGTTACGCGATGAATAATGCCTTCTAAAAAGTCTTTGGCCCTATTCAGGCGCTACAGATGTGGATAAGAACCGCAGTTTATAGGGGTTTTTTTCACCATCACGTCTGGGCGAAACGCAAAACAGCTACCGATCTTTTGATGTTACGGAACAAAACCGCTTATCTCACTAGCGTGTCTATAGATAATATGATATTATATACAGTATTATATTGTATTTGTAAGCATTTTTATAAATGAAATATAGCTAAAAATGTAAAAAAAAAGGGTTTGTTTTAAGGTTCTGGTACGAAATAATTAGTAATGTAACGAATATTCGGTTACTATTCGGTATTCGGCCGAATACCGAGTATTTAATCACTATTTGGCCGAATACCGAATACCTGAAGACACGAGCAAGAAATAACAAAAACACCGTAAATTAATTATTATGGTATTTAGATTTAATGTTATCGGGTTAGCGTTGTTTGTTTATATATTTTTTATAACTTATAACATTCACAAAATAAAAAAGAAAATAATATTAGTCACATGTATTCACAATTTATAATTACAAAGATCAGCACACGTACACACCTATTCGTTCGAGAATCGTCGCACATCCGAGGGTCTGACCCTGCCTATTTTTTTAAGCGCTCGTCTTTGCTCTTCCCTTACTCTTTCCTCTATCGCTCTAGTTCACTTATGCGTATGCATACATCATAATACGCCTTTACGATACTTTCGATTAGTCACTTTTCGGTCGTAGATTTTCCATTTTACAATTACGTGACTCGTAGCCTGGTGATAACGGAGAAAAGAGACAGATAGGACGTCGGTATAAGTCACAGTTATGATTTCACAGATTCGAAACAGCTTGGTAACCCGAACGACCCCAGGCTTTTGGCCGTGCACGCTAAGTGACTTTCATTACAAGCATTTAGCTTTCCGAAGTCTATGACAACAATTGTGTTGCATTGACTGCCGCGAATTTCGCGCCATTAAGCTACTTCGACTTGTTCGATTATGTTATCGACTCAATTTCATATTTATTTTCACATTTTCAATTCGCGGTCCTTCTCTCTTCTTTTTCCGTTATTTACATGTGAAGGTCATTTCATTGTTATCCACATTTGATATCATCATTTATCACATACTTCCATGACCCTCTTGTCTGAACTGTCAAGAATTAACGCGATTGGCGAAGCGTATTGGCAGTAGGCCAATAGAGAGCTGGGTCCTTGCCATAATGCGATTTGCGCGCCAATTTTCGTACGTGCATTAATCAAGCCGAATAGTTTGGCCGAATATTCGGCTATTCGGCCTAAGGCCGAATATACTATTCGTTGCAACACTAGAAATACATTTTACATTGTTCTTTATGGAAAAACTTGTTTCGGTTTGAGAAGAAATAAATTTTCGAACTACTTCCTGAAATGAATTTAATTCGTAAATCGAAGATTAAGTGTAGTTGATTTCTTCTAATTTAAATGATTTTTTATATAAAGTGAATTTATTTATTAACACATCTTTCATTCATAATCAAAATATAATTTAATAAAGATTCGTATAAAAATATTAAATAAATACGTAAAACTATTAGTCTCACAATCGCAATTTGTATTAAAGTTAAAATTTAATACAATAAATCATAGCTATATTTTTAAAACTTTCTATGAAGCATAAAAAGTAGTCGTTTCTTGCCTCTAATATATTTTATAAAGTATATGTTCGTTTAACTTAGACCATCAAAAATTTATATATTTCGAATTGCTGGTTTTAACTTATTAACAAAAAAATTATCGTGGCTTAATGTTCATAAATGTGACATTTTCGAAAAATAATCACACTTCATTTTACAAGTTATTTCACATTATTTAATAATAAGTTTTTTGAAATTACATTACACTTTGTTGGCTTAGCAATCTGCATCGCTATGGATATGTTTTATCATAATTATCGAATTAAATTTTCGTACGGATAAGGAAATAAAACATTTTTATCGTGAAAATAATATACAGGTAATTAAATATGAATTATACATATCGAATTAATTATTACTTACTTGAGGAATGATGGATATTTTACTACGAAGATCTCGAAGTCCAATGTCTTTAATGTCAACACCATCGAGAGTTATCGTTCCTGTCGGCTCTGTCATGCGAAATAACGCAGCAATTATAGAACTCTTTCCCGCTCCTGTTCTCCCAACAATTCCTATCTGCAATTAATTTATAATAAACACCAATTCAAGCAATAATTACGAACAATACTCTTCCAATTTGCAGATGTTTTACCTTTTCTCCGGAGCGAATATGAAATGTTAAGTTTTTTAACACAACATTTTTATCCTTGGAGTATTGTAATGAAACATTATCGAAATGAATTTCTCCTTTTTCTGGCCAATCAGATGGTGGCCGTTTATTAGGCAAACTTTCGTAGGATGCTTCGGATTTCAAATTGCTGTATTTCAGAATGCGTTTTACAGAGTTCATCTGGAAAATTTACTTTTTATGAAATAACAATTACATTATCCGGAAAATAAGTTATGTGTAGCATTTCATTAAATTTATTGATTCAGATATTTTGAGTAAAGGGCCAGTTAACAAAGTTAATAGGGGAGATCGGAGCAAGATCAGCATGTTAACCTTTACTTAAATTTTGTGTAATAAATACTGCTGTAAACTGAAAAAAAAGCTTTGCATATTGTATATTGGAATGTTACCTTACTATAGAACTGGTTAAAATCAGTTTGGAAATACAAATAATTAAAATAATTACAACTTTACAAGAAGAGAGAAATTGACGAAGTTGCCCCGGGTATAGGGGCAAGATCGGCAACTTCTCTCTTTTTGTAAAGTTGTAATTATTTTAATTATTTTTATTAAAGTTGCCCCTGGTATAGGGGCAACAGTAATGGGGCAAGATAGGCACGTATATAAAATTATGTTATTAACAATGTATAAGTTGGAATTCACTATTAAAACAGAAATACAAATCCAACACCCATTTAATATTATTATAACGAAATGCAAGTTCAAAGACATATATACATGAATAACAAATGCAAACATGTTTTCATTTATCATCTGTTTGATTTTTATCCTTTGCTTCTAATGTGGCTTTATGTTGCCGATCTTACCCCGCTTGTCATGATTTCGAAACATTAAGTACAACCCTGAGAACAGAATGCCAAGCCACGATCTGGCCACGTGAATAAGTTGAAGTTACATCCTTCTAACAGGAAAGGTAACTTTCGTTATCATGGAATTATAACAAAACCTGCCAATTTAATATAAATGGAATAAAAATATTATATGGAATTGAACTAAAATGAAAATTTGCTTGATAATTCAACTACGCTTGTTGGAGAACAATAAAAACACTACACTCAACAAGCCACCAATAGAACTCAACTGCCTAACCTATAACCAAAGTCTCCTTTTAATTTGTTTTTTAAAAAAAGCGCTTGACAAACTTGCCCTGCATGCCGAAGTTGCCCCGATTTTTCCTACTTAGTTTTCCTTCATTTTAAATTAATTTCCATTCTTATTAAACCATTTTATTTTTCTACGTACTGTTATACCCTAAAATTTACTTTTTTACAGTTTTTTAAAATTTACAGTTTGTAATTTTCAAATAATCTAAAATCTGCAGAACAATGAAAAGTTGAATTTTCTAACAAGAGTCAATGTAGATATTTGTATGATCTTTCTTTTCCACCGTGAAAAACTTTCTGGCAATTGAAAATGTAAGATATCTTAATTTGAGTAAATAAATTCAAAAGTTAGCTACTCGTATTGACAATGATATCTGTACGTGTGATGTATTAATTTGCCAAATATCATTTAGTGTTAGATATGATGGAATTAAAACATTCACAAACATGCCCTTCGCAAGAAGTATTGGTAAATAAGTGCACTTCCTTCTTATTTATTTTTTATACAGTAATTCTGTAAACTAATTTCCAAAAAATGGAAACCCTATGTGACATGGTGGGCGAATTCTTTGAGAAAACACGAATTACTGTAATTTCTATCAGGACATTCTTGCAATATAAATTAAGTTTATCTGATAAAAGTTACAAATTTATTTTAAAATACACAACTAAAACATACGTCTCGACAAATAAATAAACATTTATCAGGTTTCATTCAAATGAATAATTTTCAATTCGTAAGCTTGATATTTATTTATTAAATTAATGGATGTAAATATTTTAATATTAAATCGTTAATTCTACAAAACTAAAATGAACTTCAGCAAGTATTGAAAAGAGTCAAAAAACGAAATCATTGGCGCAGCTGACAGGATAGGTTTAAAGAATATAAAGGTTTTACGTTGAAAAGGGGGTAAAAATATTTTCACTTTGTCGAGAACAAAATTTCACGGCGGAATGCTAAGTGTAAAAAGTGTTCAAAATATCGATCTGCAGATCGTGGCAGAAGAGGTTTGTGGCACAATAGACGATAGTCTGAAGGTATTAGAGTTAAAGGAACTTATTATAAAAAATAATGACTTTATTGAACTTTTCAGCATTTGAATGACTTACGTACCTGTTAAAGAATTGGAAATTTTTTCTTAAAAATTTTTTTTTTTAATTTTAAGCTTTTCTTTAAACATTCTGTTCGAATTTTAACTGTAGCATTCTTCGAAGCCAAACACGTACAATTAATAATAAACCATATAAATATAAATCTAGCAACACATGTATATATATAAGACATATCACATTGTACACAACTTCCTGATATAGTCCTTTAGCAAGGCCAACTCAGGGAAAAGGCGAGTAGGTCCAATATCACCACAACAGATTTCCACTGTATACAGGTTATTTACTATAGGCATTCTTTGATAAATGCGTTTGATAATTTTTTCGATGTTACTGTGTATATTAAAACGCATTAATCAAATATTTTCAGTATTTTTCAATAATTTTTTGACTACTGAGTAACTGAATATAAACATTCTAAATTTAGTAATATCAATATTATCAAATCAACATAAGAATTTCTTTATTAGGCATTATTCCCTTAATATATGTTTCATAAAATAATAATAATAATGCGTGTTGCGTGGTTATAAAAAAAATTTCTCTTACAAGAAGTTTATTTTTCTCTAAAAATTTCATATTGCCCGATAAAGAAATCTGACCGTTTATTTGAAATTATGATTTTTAATCTAATTGAGTAAATATTTAATACCTGAAATTCCACTTCAGATGTAAATCCAATAATATATGTTTCATAAAATAATAATAATAATGCGTGTTGCGTGGTTATAAAAAAAATTTGTCTTACAAGAAGTTTATTTTTCTCTAAAAATTTCATATTGCACGATAAAGAAATCTGACCGTTTATTTGAAATTATGATTCTAAATCTAATTGAGTAAATATGTAATACCTGAAATTCCACTTCGGATGTAAATCCAATAATATGCTGAAAACTTATTATTATTAGTATTCCATAATTCAATACAAGTCCAATTTGGCTTCCTGCACTCTCTAAAGCCACAAGTACATATTAAAAATTATTTATTTTATAAACTGTAAACATATAAATATATTTACTCACCTGTATTATTTGAAACACCTAAAACAATAACAGTGATAATTAGATTTATGAAACAAATTATGTGACCGTATATGGAAAGCCATCGGTTTAATGCCAAGTAAAGGAACCACGTTGAAGTGTGCTTATCCTGATAGTTATTAAACATAGATTTAAATTTGCTTTCAGCATTAAATGCTCTAATTGTTGTTAGTCCGTAAAGAGATACACTCAGATGAGAAAATACTGGACTTCTCACTGTCAAAAAAAGAAATCAATAATTTAAGCGAAACTCTATTTAATATAATAATTATTATCTTATTATTTTTAAAAATCAACCAGAACATTTTTACCTGTGTCTAGGAAAGTACTGATCGCATTTGCGTGTAACTTATAACGCAAGCAAAAATTCTCTTTGTTTGTGCAAAGAGTAACTGAGAAAGATTATATGAAAAATATGTCAAACCAAAAACCACAAAAAGTTTTAAAACATTGTAATAATTTCTTGCAGAAAAAAATAGCAATATGACTCTGTAGTTGATTTCAGTACAAACTCTATTTCACGACTACTCATGAAGTTCAAAACGTTGATAATTTGCTGTTAGGAGCTCTATTGGAATAAAAAAGCTATCCACAATCGAAAGTACATTAAAACTGCAGAACTCTTTTGGTTTGAAGCTAACAAGATGAAATCTGTCAAGCACAGTATGATATTACTGTATGAGTTTTAATTTTGTGAATCATTATATGCGTCGAATATCTTTATTACTAAAATAGAGCAAGGAGTTGCATATTTTTCCTGCTGAAAAATATTTTGGTCCAAAAAACACTAAAGTATTTCAGGAATGATTTAGAATTGTGTATGACATAATCTGTTAGGATATATTATTTTAAAAGCATTTATATTATTAATTAGTCTGAAAAATTGAAATGCTAAACATGGGTTAAAAAACAAAATTTGGCATGGTAATTTGTACACAGTCGGCATTGATGCTATTAACTTTTGATGAATAAAGTAAAAAGAACGTGAGAGCTTTGTCATTTTTCGAGGGGTAAAGATTTAGTATAAATTTTATTTTTTATTAAAATAAAAATTTTTTCAAGCTCTATTTCTACTCTTACATGATCCTCATTTCAAAGTATCAACCAAAACGGATATTAAAAAAAACAGATAGAAAAATTCCCAAATACACAAATACACACTGCACTCTGCACTAAGTTTATTGTCCATGAAAAATCTGTACTTACAGGAACTCAGAAAAGTCTGAGTTCAAGTCAAAAGCATTCTTTCGGTCTTTACTGCATTCAATAAAAACAAAGTGTTTTTTAATGGTAATACAGTATACTGTATTTATTATTGTAATAATAATTTATTATCGTATGTATAATATTGCAAACTAAATGTTTCAATTAACATTATTTAGATTATTATGTCTAAGTATACGTCAATGTAATGAATAATTTCAAAAACTACCTTTCATAAAAAATTTCTATTTGTGTTATGTTTCACTAATGGTGACACTTCTAGTTTTGAGAATAATGTTGATTTAAAAAAAACACCAAAAATTAAACTAATGTATGCCAATTAAAAAGACACAATAACAATATTCACTTTAAAATGTCCAGTATTTGTGTATATAACGACTTTGAATAAATTTTAGAAGTAAGAAGCAGTAGATCTTAATTCTAGTTCCACTAAAACTGTTCAGATTCTTAAACTGGTTGTTTTTGTTCGATTGTTTTTGAAAATCATGATACTGTATTATATATTACTTTTTATTGTCGTAAAGATGGTATTAAACATTTTTTATTTGACATCCAAAATCAATTAAATATTTTATTGAATAAAATAAATAGTCATGTAGAAATGAATATACATATTAATTCTGATAATTNAAATTATATATTCATTGCAATTGTTTGGTCATTGATAATACAGTATCTGAAACCAGTGCTAAATGCAATATGGCTTATATAATATAACATTGTTTTAATTAAACATTTTATTTAAAAATCTGTTCATGTCTTAAAGTATGCTAACTTATAATAATATCATACCATTTGATTAGCCAGTAGTCGCTGGCACTTGTAACGGATTGCGATATAATTAGCGTGGATAAAATAACGATCTTGAAGAAAAGTCCTGCTCCGGCATTGACGTATGCTTTAACGACTGAAATTTCTGGTTTCTTAACTCCTGCATTGTCGCGTGGTATTTTGTTATTTTCAGCTTCCTACGAAAAATAATTAAACTGTATATATAATTATTCGTTGAATTTTTCTTAAATCTGAAGCAATAGTATAATATTATTTTCGAACCATAAGAATCTAAGATATAACTTTTCCTAATATAAGATGTAACTTTTTCATATAACTGCAAATCAGATGTGTTATTGTTAATTTCTATATCAAAACCAATAAAACTGTTAATTTTTGTTTGATTATTAGTTCCTAATATACTAAAAAAATGAAAAGTTGCAAAAAAATAAAAAATGTTATTCAACAAATATTATCATTAACGGTCGAAGAATGAAAAACACAGTAAATTTAAAGGCGAAAATCGGAAAACAGTGAGAAGGATATTTTTTGTCGATGTTTTTTTGAATGAATTTTAAAGTATTCTAACTTTTACCNCATTTTTTATTTGACATCCAAAATCAATTAAATATTTTATTGAATAAAATAAATAGTCATGTAGAAATGAATATACATATTAATTCTGATAATTGTAGGCATTGTTGCTAAATTCGTGAAGAGAAATTTAGAAGTGATGATGTCAGAGTTATGGATCACAGGTCATTTTTGTGGTTTTACCCATAATAGCTGTAACTTAAATTATAGTTTTAAAACCTTTATTCCTATTATACTAAATAATTTTCCTAGTTTTGATTTCTATTTCATTTTCAAAAATACCAAACGGGAAAAAATCAAAAGAGTATTTTTATAATGAAGTATCTGGAGAAAACCTTTGCAATGATGATTACAACCAGATAAAAAATTTTATCTAGTTTGGGAAAATTTTCATTGTAAAATTTATAGAGATTATTTAAAATTATATCAATATGTTATTATTAGCTAATATATTTCAAAATTTTAAAAAATTAAGTTTTAAAGTATTATAATTTAGATCCTGTGTATTTTGTAACAGCACCAGAGATCTAACCTGGAATTGTGGATTAACCCTCTAATCTCCGAAATGTTTAATAAAAATCAGCCTTATTGAATAGATGCGAGTAATCTTTATGGACTTGTAATGAGTTCTNATTTTTTTTATATATATAAAATAAAATTTTTTGTACAATCATTTTAAAACTTCTAATTCCAAACCACAATTTTCAGAATTATTTCCTAACTTGAACAGAATTAGAAGTCCTGACAAACAGAAAATATAACATAACGGAATATTAACTTCTCAAAAATTTTTAAAGCATGAAATTTATTATATCTTAATACAGAACTCAGCAGGTGCACACCAACTTACGAAATTTCGCGAATATTTTCAGCTCGTTTTCTGTTAATGTAGTTTTTATGCATCTGAACAATTTTAAAAGGACTTTATCGTTGGTTTCCTAACAAGCTGTATTTTCCTATAATGTAATCGAGATGCGTTTATAATGATAATAATAATAGTAATAAGCGCAGAACCCGAACAGTTAGGATTTGAAAGATAAAATTTGGTACAGTTAGTATATGTCATGAAAATGTACATTAAGAAAGGATTATTCGAAATTCCTTTCTTGCATGGGAGAGGGAGAGGCCCAATATCCTAAAGAATTCAGCTTATACTATACTATTAATATTTTAAAATGCAATTTTATATTTTTAACTGAGTTTAAGTAGGGTACGCTATGAAAATGCACAAAAAGAAAGAATGTTAAAAAATTTTACTTCCTCTTCATAGACAGGAGAAAGAGAAAGTAGTTTTAGTTCTTCATCCATTGAATTCGATTTACCCGAGGACGTTCAACAAAAAACAATTCTAGGATTGAATAATAATCTCATTCTCCATCTGATTTTTTTAATTTCTGTATGTCCAAAGACGAGGAAAAAAAGAATAATATAAACAGGAGGTATATAAAAATCGAAAGTTCTAGTTTGAGATCGAAATTTTCATGAAGATTCCCATGTTTTATCTTCCCAAGTTATGCCAGCATATCACTGGAACTGCACTTTTTCCAATGGCTATTGTTTTATATATTTTGCAAGTTAGCTATCTACAAAATGAACGAATCAACGAAGGAACTTCTCGGGATAGATATTTTAGAAAATTTTATTCATACAAAATCAATTTGTAAACTCACTTATTCAGAGATTGTTGCTTTGGTAGAGGTAATCGTTAATGATTTATATTGTAGTAGTTTCACATACTAGCAGGTAAACTCTGTGGATAAATCTAGTTTAGATATAATTTCTGCTTATGTAATGTACCTCAATAATATCTTAAGGTTATAGAGATTTTTGTTTTCTACTCTATTCGTATTAAATTGTATCAATTTGTGGTTTCATGTCAAAAATTTTTTGTTTGGTCGCAGAGCACAAGTTTCCCACATACGACCACTCTAGCTTTCGTGCTATAACACGGTTTCTTGTGTCCCAATTGAATTCGCAAATGATGTCAGATTCTGACCCAGGGGCGCTTTTTATATTTCTGACAAAAGTATGGCTCAGTCATTAAAACATTAATGCTAANAAAACAATATCAATATGTTATTATTAGCTAATATATTTCAAAATTTTAAAAAATTAAGTTTTAAAGTATTATAATTTAGATCCTGTGTATTTTGTAACAGCACCAGAGATCTAACCTGGAATTGTGGATTAACCCTCTAATCTCCGAAATGTTTAATAAAAATCAGCCTTATTGAATAGATGCGAGTAATCTTTATGGACTTGTAATGAGTTCTTAGTGACCGCTAAATAATTTCATATGGTGATCCAGAGATGATATAAATGCTTTAGACATTTGTAATATACCTGAAAGCAGTGTTTTTCAACCTTTTTGAATAAGTGACCCCTTTACAAGTTAAAAAATTCTGGCGAACCCCCAGGGCCATTTTAAAACTATGTCAGTGATTTTAAAAACTACGTATTTAAGTTTCTTTCTGTTCAGGCCTAAATATCGATCGAAAAACCAATTGTACTGTAAAATAAACAGGCACAGCCTTTTCACTAAAATTGTAGTTTTTTTTATTGTAGTGTAGGACCTACAAACACTTGTCTTTGTAGGACTTGTGTAGGACCTACAAACACGTGTCTTT